GAATATGTGCATATTCATGATATTAGAAATACTTCATGATCGGGAATGCCTTGGGGCTGCTAGCCTAATTCATCCTTTTTCTCCTTTTGTGTTGGTTTTTTCTTATGAAGGTCAAGTATTGGCACTTTAGTTGGTGTGCTCTTACTATCAGACTCTATAGTCGGACCCTATTGGAAAAATGGAGTGTATAAATGCTACGGTGTTGTTTCTTCACCTTCATGGCTAAGTTATGCACATCTTGTAAGATCATAAGAGTTTTAATTACACCAACTTAAAAACAATCATATTATTTGTTGTAAAATCGATTATTTTGTTTATGTATATATATTTTTTATTTAACATTAAAAAGTTAAATTCATCTTTTCACCCATATGCTATCACAAAACATTGAATGGGTCTAACAACCAAGAATTATACACGGGTCAATAAAATCAAATTACTAAAGTCTTTAGAGGAATGGTGTGCAACCTATTTTCTTCTACTTTCTTCAGCTTTGGAGGCACGTAGCATTTCTATTTGCCACATAGGCCTACATTCAAGTGATACCCACTTCATATGTCTCCAGTCAAATAAAGGGTCCATTTATGCAGCATCAATTTAAAATAAATCATTTGGATGAGATGCCCTTATTTTCTTTGCAAAATCTCCTTTTGACTTCTTCCTCATGACCTAGGGAACTTCCTAGGCCAACTTTCATTATTTTTCTAGCATCAAATATTTTTAAAAATATTTTAAAAATATGAACTAAAAAATAATCATTTAATTCACACTCAAATTACATCATGATAAAATTTTAATAAAACTTGACTAATTTTAAAATAGTTTTGGGTTTCCATGATTTTGGTGAAATAGCTAAAATAAAAAAGAAAATTATCGAGTTAGAACTAGTTTCAAATTGATTTGAAAATATCAAAATTAAATTGAAGCCATCAAAGAATATTTTGATGAGTGTACATATTGGACAATAATAATTATAAAAAAGATTAACTTCACTTATATTTCATGTAAGAAGGGTTCAACAAACAAACAAGAATGACAAATCATAACAATAAAGCCTCATGGAAACAAAGGGAGACTACTACTTTGAATTTGTCTATTCTAACTTAGGCCAAAGCTTACAATTTGACGAACAAAAAATAAATGTTATTTTTATAGACTCAACAAGTGAATCATAAAATACGTATTAAATTATACGATTACATGAAATCAAACATATAGAAAAATTGAGAGGGGGTGTGTGCTCCTCTTATTGTGTATGTCATATTACCTTTTTAGTGATAGGCATGAGTTAGAGGTTGACATTAGAAAATTCAAACTAATGTAGGATTCAATAAATGTTATGTAGCCCACCATAGAATCATCATAAGGTGAATTCTTCTTAGCTAAGAGCTCCATATGAGTATTATAAGAAGAAATTGGTAAATAAGTAAAATCAAGCAATCACCATTGGATGGCTACCAAGCACCTTTCAATAAATTCAACATCAAAATACCCATCAACTAACTTAACCCCGGTTTACCAGCCTTTCTTCGAGCTACTGATTATGGTTATTTCTTTTACTAAAGACTATAGGTTGAAGAGTGGTTTGGGTATGTGCAATTCTCAACTCAAGTACCTTAGTCTAAATCTTGATCATTTTAAATAGACATATAGTGAATACTATATATTTTAATAACATTAAAACTGAAACACACTTAAAAAGAAAGGGGGAATTTGCACACATAGCACCCAATTCTTATGTATTTACTTATCTGAACATCAAAATTTTGATTTTTACACCAAAAGCACATTTTCCCATGTATAGAAAGGTGGATTTTAGACATAGGTAAGTGTGCTTAGATGATAAAAATTAAGATTTGAATGGGAGACAGCTAAATGCATAAGAATTAGGTGCTGTATATGCAATTTTTTTCTAAAAATTGCAATTTTAATTTCTTATTCCGGAGTCCAATTTTGTGTAATCAATTACCGCACCCGTGACCCATCGTTTCCCGCACAGCTTCAATTATCCCTATTTTCGGCTATAATAGACAAAAAAAGAAGAAGGATTCCAGCTAACAAGGAAGAAAAACTCACAGTTTGCAGCTCAAAACAGCTTCTTTTACTCTCTCTGTACTTAATAAAAATCGTTCTTTTAACAGAAAAAGGTGAGGAATTTACAGAGGAAAGGAAACTAAGAACCACCGCGTTGAAGCAGTTCTCTCGCTTTTCAGCACTCCACCGTGCCCGTCGCCGGCGAACAACTCCGAAGATCCCCTCCTCCACAACCCCTTCTTCAAGGATATAAAATCCTCTTCTCCTCCATCCATCCTGTATAACTCCACTTTCATCATCAATCCTCATCGGAAGTTTCAGGGCTCGGTTCCAAATTAAGGTCCGGATATTTCCAAGACCTCGAAGGCGGCGGAGCCGCCACCGCCACCGCCGCGGCCGCTGCCGCAGGCAGCACACCGGCCTGCAGAGCGGCCCACCTGAGCGTCCACTCTCGCCCCGACCTCCGAAGCCTTCTTCCTAATAGACGCCGCCGTGATTCCGCCGCCGAAATCTCCCGTCGGCTCCTCCACCTCGATCTCCTCCGGGAAGTTAAGCCGCGCCGAGCGTCCTCTCAGGAGATACACGGCGGTGTCGTAAGCTCTCGCCGCCGCTACCGGCGTCGAGTAGGATCCAAGCCATATCCTCGACCGCTTGTTCGGCTCTCTTATCTCCGCCACCCACTTGCCCCACTTTCTCATCCTCACTCCCCTGAACTGTTTCTCCCTCCTTCCGGCGGCCGTCGCCGGGGGCTGCGGCGGCGGTTTTCTTCCTTCCTCTCTCCTCTCCATCTATGCTCTCGTCGGCGGGCAGGCGGGCTGGCGCTTTGGTTTCTTGTAGCGCTCTTGTGGACGCGGATTGTCTGTACTTAGATGTCTAATTATACTGAGGGTGTTATTAGGGATTTGATTACCGGCCACGGAAAATAATAATAATTTATTGATTTTGGTTTTATCTTCTTGCCACGCTGCGCTTGGAGCTCTTCTTTTGGAAACTAAAAAAGACCACACGCAAGGGAAATGGGATGACGACCCTGCGCACGCATCTTAAGGCAACACGTGGAAGGAGTCTAGCGGAATAAGAGGGATCGGGAAGTCATAATATCCTTGTGCCATTTTTATGAGTAAATTTAAAAATTTATGGCTTATTTGGGATGATTTTTAATTTGTTTTATTTTTTAAATCATCGTCATAAATTTATTTTGAAAACTATTTTTTTTAAAGTTTTATTAAAATTTTATGAGGAAAAAAATTTTTTTCCTAACAATTTTTAAAATATGATAATTGTAAAAAAATTCATGTTGATTTTTTTGGGAAAATATATATTTATAATGATAGTTTGATTTATAAATAATTATTATGTGCTATTGTACACATAAAAATATGTATGCACGAATCTCATAACAGATAAGAGACCTAGGAAGGAAGCACGACTGATCGAATGTAGCAATAGACGATCGTTTCAATTCTGCAGCAACGAAGAAAATATCTTACCCATGCGATCGACATAAGATAACAAAAGAAAGTTTCTGAGGGATAGTCATCAGTCTTCAGAACGATTGATGAGAAACACTCATTCAGACCATAAGCGATCGACTAAGACTTGTCAGACGATAAGAGACCCTTATCGGTCGAATTGGTCCTGGTTTTTATTATATGCAAATAACAGCCTGAAAGTTTAATGATTAGGGGACAAATATGTACTTTTATAATATTGAGATCTAGGTCTATAAGAAGGGGCTCATATTATGAATAAAGGAGAGCTTTCGCTTTTCTATTATCGCTCCTTCACTCTCTCTCTCTCTCTCTTTCTCTCTTAATTTCCTTCTAATAGAACGTTCCATTCATTAGGCGTGTTTCCCAGACAATTTCGAATTCAACATCCTTGAGGTGCGGTGAGTATGTAAACATTTCTACAACAAGAAGAGAAACTCAATAACAACAACAACAGGGGAGTATAACTAGATTGACGAAGGAGAAGTAGCATGTACTCGAGAGTTCATGGAGGAATTTTTTCAACAAGGGTTGAAAAATTTAAGCACCTAGATCATCAACCAGATGTCGGGACAGTTCCCTGAGGTTCTTAGATGGTTGCTGCTTTAACAGCTCCGCACCCCCTCCCCAAAGTTCTAGTTGGAGAGCCAGCACGACAACGAACACATAACCCTCTTCAAGGAGAACCACCAGCCAACGATGGAAGAATGGGAATCCACCCGCAAGAAAAACATGAAAACGGGCTGTACCAGGACAACGAAGGATCTGCCCCTGTGGAGAGGAGGAACCGACTGATGCAGACTAAGTCAACCAGAGAACGCTTTCTCCCTGCATATCTCAAGAGTTGAACCTCTGAAGAAGTTTAAAATGTCGGTCTTCGACCTGTACAAAGGATGATTGGATTCCAACGACCACCTCACGTCATTTGATTCATCTATCTGTCTGTTGAAGATTTCGGATGCCCTCAAGTGCAAACTATCCTTCATGACGCTAAGATCAACTTCTTTAAGGTGGTTCGACGAATTGCCCGTAGGGTTAATCACCTGTTTCGTAGAGTTCATGAAGCTTTTCTATCTCAGATCACCTGTGCCTTGAGGCTCGAGAAGAACGCTAGATCCCTGTGGTAGCTGAATCAGTAGGAAAATGAAAGCCTGCGATCTTTTTATGTGCGTTTCCAAAGCGAGGTTATAGATGTTAAGGACTTGAAACTTGACTTTACTCGGGCTATGTTAACACAAGGAGTAAGGAATGTGAGGTTTCATTTAAGCCTCGAACTTGTAGAACCACAAAGCTAGAACAAGTTATTTAAGAGTGTTTCCAAAGCGAGGGCCTCCCTAATGGTCGACAGCTCTGACCATAAGAGGGTGACCTCCCCCTAAGCTATCAAGCTTCTCCCCCCCAGAAAGCCGCGAGCTCCTCACACAACCCTGAATTTCTCTCTCCACTTGCTAGAACATCCAGAGGACCTCGACAACCCTTCCCTCGCCTTCTCCTCGGGGGCACCCCATGAAGCAGGAGAAGCGTTAATGAGGCCATCGAGTATGGAGTCGAAGGACACACGACACCCCTCTGATTGCCTCCTCATCCCTAGCAGCACCAAGGTGAGCCTGATGGCTATCGCCCTAAGCTCCAACACCCGGATTTTCAGTATCCCTCTCAGTACCTTGATATGGCGCACTGAGCCCTGCCATGTCTCCTCCCGCGGTAACATGTTTCACGCTCGCCACCTTGACCGCAACTTGGTCCACCACCACCTCATCATCTTTTGGGTGCGTCAATATCTATACATAATGTATCGACAATCAAGAACTTAGTTGCTGAAAAGAAAGGAACAAAAATGTTAATCAAATTACATACTAAGGATCTGCCCCTACTTAGACGTAGAATAAGAAAAGTGATCACCACGTGCTTTTTCTGGTCGTCCATCTTCAGTGGAGAAGCTGCTCCAAGTCTGGTGAAGCCACGTCTCAACCTTGGCTACCATCTGCTCAACAATTCTCTGAGGGATCACAAACCCCACAACAACTTGGGCAAATAGTATCGCTCCTGCAAGTGAAACACTCATCCTAGGTGAATGCCCGCAGAAGAATCATCCAAACAGTCTCTCACTTGACCCGCAACCCTCTCCTAAAAATGGCCCGCAAGGAAACTGGAAGAGACTGGCCTAGTCTCACGATCGGTGGCTCTGTGCTTAGATACAACCCTCTTCTTACTCAATTCTTCAACAGACGCCTCACCCAAAAGATTGTGCTTCACATCCAGCTTGCAGGCCTGCACCTGCATGTCACTCATTGCCTCGAGGAGCACGTTCTTGTCAGAAGGTGCAACTCCTTCGTCAGGCATCACAGAAAACATGCAGAGAGAAAGACAGATGACAAAGGAATCTAAAGAAACTGAAGCAGTGCGGACTTCCCTTACCCCAAAGAACATTTATAATGACATTGGTACGAAAATTTAGGGAAATCCATTATTGCACAATAATAATATTTATTTATTTATTCATAGGTGACAAAAAAACTCTCTTGTCCTCATGTACTAGACAACTTCCGATGAGGAAGAAAATCATAGAACTAAAAATATACAAATAAAACTATGTTTGCATGAATCTCAAAACAGATTGGCGACCTAGGAAGGAAGTACGACTGACCGAACGTAGCAACAGACAATTGATTCAGTTGAGCAGGGGCAGAGAAAATATCTTACCCAAGCAATTGACAAAAAAATAACAAAAGGAAGTCCATGAGGGACGGTTATCAGCCTTCAGAACAATTGATGGGGGAACACTCCTTCGGACCATAAATCGATCGAACCAAGATCAGCTAAACGATCGGCGACCCTTATCGTTCGAATATGTATCGATCTTTATTAGATGCCATAACCTTGTAAATTACCAAAAGCCCCTTTGAAAAGTTAATCATCAGGGGACTAATATGCACTTTTATAATATTTAAACCTAGGCCTATAAGTAGGTATTCATATTATGATTAAAAGAGACCATTTAATCGTCTACTACCACTCCTTCACACACACACACTCTCTCTCTCTCTCTTGAATGCTTTCTAATAGAACATTCTATTTTTTGGGCATGTTTCTTGAACAATCTCAGATTCAATGATTACGGAATTTGTTTGAAGTCCAAAACAATTTTTTTTCTTTTTTTATAGTGAAATATTATTATCTAAAGGGAAGAATTTTTGCGCTATAAATGTAAATATTAAACTTTGGGTGTCAGGGATGCAGCATGTAAATATAAAAGAATTGCGTGGTACGCGCGTAAATTTCCCATTCTCTGTAGACACAAATGTTCTTGTTTTCTCTTTTAGGAAAAGAGGGGGAGAGGATCAAAAGTCTCCGCACTCCATCATGCCAAAATTTGTCGGCATGGAATTATAAATTTTAATTTTTATTTTACAAAAGAAAAAAATTAAAAAATTAATATTATTATTGTAGATTATATTAAAATTAAATTTTTAATTTAATAATAACTTATCTAACCTTATATAATTGAAAAATATGTTCTAAGTTTTTTCTTTTCAATTTAAAGTTTTATTAATTTTTTTTATAAACTTTATTTATTTTTTAATTTAAACAATGCCATGAGTTGCCTAAAAGTAATTATTTTAACAAATATAAATTAAAATAATTTAATTTAAATTAATTTTTAATAAAATTTCATTTTTATTTTCATTTTAGCAAAATACCAAACGAGGTTGTTGCGTCAGCATTGGACGTAATTTTAAATTCTGAGATTAATATAATGTGTAAATTAAAATAAAATAGATTAATAAATTAATATAATTTTGATCTAGGATTGAGTAACGTGGCAAATATTATCACCGTGGAGGATTCTTGACCTTCTATAAGTTTATTTACATTTTTTCTTTTCTAAAAAAGAAAAAAAATTCATATTTAGAAATTTAACCTGACCCAAATTTTTTTTTAAATACTATAT